TTCTTTGTTTTGTGATTGTTGATACGCCTTTTGCCACTCATAACGTCCTTTTTCTTAGCAATTACAGTGCATATCATTGACATAGATTTGTTGCACTGCCTAGCTAGTTCAACAACCCGTGTACCATTTTTATGTTTACAAATGATCTCTTGTTTTTCTTCTATGGTCATTCTCGCATATGTTTTTTTGGCTTGAACCTTACCACTGGCTTTCTTGGGACCCATGGCGAGATATGTAATGGTAACTTTTATGTTCAAATACCCAAAAATAAAAAAAAAATAAAAAAAATGAAATTCTTTACATAGAATTTAGGCACGATTGTCACTAGGCGGGAGGCACTGGTAAACTGAGGTGCGGTCGCCGTATCACCATGCGCTATGTCGACCATATGCTTATCAACGAACTTTGTTTCCCGAGGCAAAGTTTGTAACCCGATTCGGATTTTACAAAGAAATCGGGCTTGTAACCTGAAAAGTTCATAAAGAGGGGCATTCGTAAGCCGAGGTGTTACTTTATATGTTGTGACGGTAAAGCGTTGGTGTTCGGCTGTTTCAAAAGCTAGGAGCAGGGCCTCGTCACAGAGGAAAAAAAAAAGAGAAAAGCTGGAACTTTCGTCTGTGGTAAGGTAATGGGAAGACACACAAAACACAAGTAAATTAACAATGAAATTTTAATTACGTTAGAAAAACAAGACATGAATAAAGTTAAGCATAAAATATAAAAGACAAGTCAACAAACAAAATAATATGAATAATCACTGGCAAATGAAAAGTTACGTTAAGACAAGAGAGTTACAGAGATAGCAAAATAAATATGAATGGAGCTGGAATATTGGCTTCGAGCTGCCACCTCCCTTAGTACACGAAAGCCAAGGCTTAGTCTACCAGCGAGAGATGTCAACTGCAAGGAGCACTGAGATATTCTGACAATATTGGGCCACTGCAGCCCAGACATCAACTTGTGGCGGAGGGCGGAGGGCAGGTGCGACGGGACACCAGCCAATCAGCGACAGGCAGGCAATGGACAAGCAGTTTGCCGGTTTACGGTGGCGGTAGCTAGCAGGTGTGCCGGTGTGCTGGATACGTTTTGCTCTCTGGGCAAAACGTTTTGGAGATACTTGCTGGACGTATCTTCTATATTATCTTTTGTTGTTACATACTTTGTAGGGAAGAGCAGGCTCAATCTCTCTTGAAAGAGATTATCGTCACAATGTAAATCCACAGAAGACTTAACATGTTTATATAAAATAGATTGATACTTGTATCACTTCTGTACCTTTAAAATTTGGAAAATGTTGCTTTGTTTTTTTTGGGGATTGTAAATAATGGGGAGTACAGTGGTACTTTCGTTTACGAATTCATTCCAAGATACGGTTCGCACACCGAAAATTTGAAAACTGAAATGAATTTTCCCATAAAAAATAATGTAAATTTAATTAATCCGTTCCACACACCCAGAAATATTAACTTAAAAATACATTTTATACATAATACTACTCATATTTTGTACTACAGAATGTATATCTTACCTTTATTGAGGACTCCTGTTGTCGTATGGAAAACAGCAAGGATGGGGGTAGGAGAAGTGTTAGTTTTTTGAAGGGGGAGTTACCTTCCATTATAAATCAGGCAGTGATGACATTTCTGGGGTACTCTCTTCCTTATATTTTGCAGGCATACCACTAGGACCTGATTGTGGCTCACTGGTTGTCTCACTAAGAATTTGTCTATAGACACTTGATTTTTCCCCTACATCTTAACACCTGTTAATAGTGAGGTATCACAGTGTCATTAAAAAGGTTTATGTAACGGTCTGCTACACCTTTATCTGGGCGAGTTTTTTCAACAAAACTTTGCAGTTCTTTCCATACTGCAAACACTTTCTTAATGAGGAAGGGCCTCTACTGCTTCTATTCACAACTATTTTCTTAGGTTTAACTTTACCACCAACTTTTTTGGAACCCATGTCATGATATGTAATAATTACTTTTATGTTCAGAAACAAAAAAAAACTCAAGAACAATTAAATTCTTCACAAAAAATTCAACCGCAGTCTCCACTAGGTAAGACACACTGATAAACTGGGGCGCGCCTTGCCCACACCAACAGAACCACATGCTCGGTCGACTTGTGTGTGTATCAACAAACTTAAGAAATGAGGCAAACCTCAAATACCAAGTCGAATTTTACAAAGAAATTGAGCTTGGAAACCGAAAAATTCATAAAGAGGGTCATGCGTCAACCGAGGTGCCACTGTACCCAAGTTTTAAGAGTATAGTTGTACAGTTGTTTGTTCTCTTCTCGCAATTGGAAATTCCAGTTTCGAATCCCAAGCGAGACAGAAATGATTGGGTGCATTTTCTATTGTCTAATGCCCCATGCATTAGGTACCTAGCTAGGTACCCCAGGAGTTAGTCAGCATGTTGTGGGGTTTGATCCTGGGGAGGGTCAGTAATTTGACCTTAGGAAGGATCTAGATATAAGCCTCACATGTATATATGTGTGCGTGCGTGTGTGTGTAATTACCTAAGTGTAGTTACAGGATGAGAGCTACGCTCGTGGTGTCCCGTCTCCCCAGCACTCTTTGTCATATAATGCTTTGAAATTACTGACGGTTTTGGCCTCCACCACCACCTCACTTAACTTGTTCCAACCGTCTACCACTCTATTTACAAAAGTGAATTTTCATATATTTCTTTCGCTTTGTTTCGTTAGTTTAAATCTATGACCTCTTGTTCTTGAAGTTCCAGGTCTCAGGAATTCTTCCCTATCAATTTTATCGATTCCTGTTACTATTTTGAACGTAGTGATCATATCGCCTCTTTTTCTTCTATCTTCTAGTTTTTGCATATTTAATGCCTCTAACCTCTCCTCGTAGCTCTTGTCCTTCAGTTCTGGGAGCCACTTAGTGGCTTGTCATTGCACCTTTTCCAGTTTGTTGATGTGCTTCTTAAGATATGGGCACCATACAACCGCTGCATATTCCAGCTTTGGTCTAATAAAAGTCGTGAACAATTTCTTTAGTATTTCTCCATCCATGTATTTAAAAGCAATTTTGAGGTTAGAAAGTGTAGCATAGGCTCCTCGCACAATGTTCTTAATGTGGTCCTCAGGTGACAGTTTTCTATCTAGAACCACCCCTAGATACTTTCTTTGTCAGAATTCTTTAAAGATTTCTCACATAATTTATAGGTTGTGTGGGGTCTATGTTCTCCAATTCCACATTCCATAACATGGCATTTATTCACATTAAATACCATTTGCCAGGTGTTGCTCCATATACTTATTTTGTCCAGGTCTTCTTGAAGGGCATGACAATCATCTAGGTTTCTTATCTTCCCTATTATCTTAGCATCATCAGCAAACATGTTCATGTAATTCTGTATTCCCACTGGTAGATCGTTTATGTAGACAATGAACATTACCGGTGCAAGAACTGAACCCTGTGGTACTCCACTCGTAACATTCCTCCAATCCGATCCCTTGCCTCTGATTACGGCCCTCATTTTTCTGTCAGGTAGGAAATTTTTCATCCGTGTTAGTAGCTTACCTGTCACTCCTCCAATATGTTCCAGTTTCCAGAACAACCTCTTATAGGGAACTCTGTTGAAAGCCTTTTTTAGGTCCAGATAGATGCAGTCAACCCAACCATCTCTTTCCTGTAAAATCTCTGTGGCTCGATCATAAAAACTGAGCAAGTTCGTTACACAGGATCTTCCAGATCGAAAACCATACTGTCTGTCTGATATTATATCGTTTTCCTCCAGGTGTTCTACCCATTTAGTTTTAATTATTTTTTCCAATATTTTGACTATTACACTTGTCAATGATACAGGTCTATAATTAAGGGGGTCTTCCCTGTTTCCACTTTTGTGGATTGGAACTATGTTAGCCTTTTTCCACACATCAGCTACAACTCCTGTACACAGGGATGCCTGAAAAATCAGTTGAAGTGGAATGCTGAGCTCAGGTGCACATTCTCTCAGAACCCATGGTGAAACTCCATCTGGACCAACTGCTTTGTTCTTACTTAGCTCCTCGAGCATTTTTTCCACTTCATCTATAGACACCTCATGTGCTCTATGTTGTTCCCTGGAATTCTTATTGTATCTGGTTCCCTAAAGATTTCATTTTGTACAAACACACTTTGAAACTTTTCGTTTAGTGTTTCACACATTTCCTTTTCATTTTCCATGAATGTATCTCCCATTTTCAACCTCTGAATATTATCCTTTACCTGCAATTTGTTGTTTATGAATTTATAGAATAGACCTGGTTCTGTTTTACCTTTGTCTGCAATCCCTTTTTCAAAATTTCTTTCTGCCTCTTTCCTCACTGCCGTGTAGTTGTTTCTTGCATCTTTGTATCGCTGGTATGTTTGTCCTATAGGGAGTCCTATTGTTTGTTTGTTTGTCCTATTTTGTGTGTGTGTCTGTGTGTGTGTGTGTGTGTGTGTTGGCTGTCTGTCCCCCCAACACAACCACAGTGAATTATTATTAAATCACTTGTTTTGGCTAGGGAGTCCTATTGTTTGTTTGTTTGTCCTATTTTGTGTGTGTGTCTGTGTGTGTGTGTGTGTGTGTGTTGGCTGTCTGTCCCCCCAACACAACCACAGTGAATTATTATTAAATCACTTGTTTTGGCTGATATTTTTCCATAACATTCCTTTTCTGAAAGAGCAGATTCTTACCTCTCAGAAAAGATATTGTTTACCTTCTTCTAGTGTGGGGAGGGAAACACACCTGATGTGCCCCGCCTGGCCACAGCACTATTATACTGTACTACAGCAATGTACATCAAATGTGTAATCAAGAAGTGTATAGATAATACTATGCATGTGTGTTTATAATGCATTGAAAGTTGTAAATTTAGGATAAAAAGTGCTTGTTGTCTGAGGTATAGTACTGAAGCATTGATTTAGTTGTTAGTATTTTTTATGTGAATTTAGTCAATACAAATATTATTTAATATTAAAGGTTTTGACACAACTTGTCTCAACAGCCAAAGTCCACAAGTCAAGTCAAACAACAGCAGTTGCTGCAGCCACAGACACAGCATCATCACCTTCAACAGCACCAACAACAGCAACAGCAACAACAACAACAGCAGCAGCAGCATCATCCATCTAGACCACCTCAAGGTGGCTCACTTCCTGACTTCTCAATTAATTTGCCGGTGTGTGTCTTTTTTTTTTTTATAGGAGTTATTCTTCTTTGGCTTGTGCATCATTTAAACTGTTTTCTTTGCTAATGTTGTTAAAGCTTTTCAGTCATATATTTATGTATATCAGTGGGTATTTTTTGTGATACTTCTTAACTTACTTTATGCATTTTTAGCATGAAATCTTCTGAGGTTTATGTTGCAGGGAGTATGATGAAATAAAGAATTGTATTGCAGTTAAAAGAAATTCCTTTCTCTTGTGCAAGTGTGTGAATGGATTTTTTTTTGCCAAGTCAGTGATATTTATTCAGAACTTGTATATTAATACTACACAATATACACAGCAGAAACGCTCATACTTTCAATAACATAAATGTCAGGAATACACAGTTTTACTGTCAGATTTATAACATTTGGCAGTGTGTGGTTTCAATATACAGTTTATTTTTCAATACATCATTTCTCTGGAAGCTCCAGTTGAAGTGGTCATGGCAGGAGAGCTAAGGTTATGCAATTGTTTTTCTTTCATTCATATTACGCCATGATATTTGCCTTGCATCGTTCTAAACTTTATTAGTTCATTCTTGTATACTGGTGGCCCTCAAAATGCTCAAGAGGTTATGCTCATGTCTTAACATGCATATAAAAATTGCACTTGTAAATTTTAAAGATGCAGTGTATTGGAAAATTTGGATTAGGTTCCAAATGTTCAACTGTTTAGCACATATTAAAATCCAGAATGATTTGGATGTCCAATGACGCATAAATGTTACCCAGAAAGTTTGTAAAATACAAGAAGTAAGGTGTGAGAGTTTAACTTAATGCCAAGACTGTAGTAGAGTCCACATTAATCTTCATCAAAGTATTTTCAACCCATATAACTCCAAAATTCATCTGTGCAATTTGAAAATTGGTATAAAAGTTCTTGCGTATGTAACTTCAAAGCGACATAATATGTACAGTACTCCAATACATTACAAATCATGGGCCGCCTGTTCTCTGTTTGCTGTCCTGTTTCCTGATTTTTTGTTTGATCAGCTAGAAATATATTTGGTTCATTAAATCAATTTATCAGTTTTTAAATAGTAAATGGAAAATTATGTGCAGATTAACCAGGTTGTCTTGGGAGTAGCCAACACTCAAATGAAAAAAAAATCAAATAAACTTAGTATGTGATATAACCTAAGTAAATTAAACTCCAATGAGCACAGTGCAACATTATTTGCACAATACTCATCCTGTTGGGATCAATGCCTTGTTTGTCAATCCTATTCTTTGTTCTGTGTCCGTCTCCCAGGTTATCCACATCATGATTCGGTTTAACTAGCTGGCTGTTTATCTTCACTCTCGTGATGTGCAAAAGTTTGCTGTTGTGACGGCTTTATTTGTCAATATGTTCTGTGGTCTGTTTTGTGATGAATTTGTAGATGCCTTCATTACATACAGTATTTCACCAATTTTTTGTACATCTTTCTTATAGTATTCTTATATTCTTATCTATCTACAAACCTTTTTAATAAAATTTATTGAAGAATTTGCTCAGTTCTCCATAATGTCTTCTTTTAAAGTTAGGTTTCTCTGATATCTTCCTCTCACTGATCTTTTTCAATATCCTAATGAAAGGTACATTTAATTGATAAGTCATGGGTGCATTTATCAATTGAAAGTAGGTAACTGCAAATAAACAATGTCTTCATCTTTTGTGGTAAATGTTTGTCCCAATTTGACGGGATATCATCTTTCTAACTCTTATGACTTGCTTAATATGCTGACACATTAAAATCACACAGTATAAACGATCACTATCTTCATTTGCTCTTATCTCTTTCATGGTCATTATAATTCCCTCATTTGTTATCTAGTTCCTCTAATATCCATGTGTTAATTGGTGGGGGCAGGCATTTATTGTATTATATATTATATATTTGCCTCTTTAGTTTCTGATCTTCAGTGTTACAATCTCTATATCTCGTGAGCTATTGAGTATTAATTCTTTTACTATTATATATTATGTGATCCCCCAGAAATACCACCTCATTTAGAATTGTACTTTCCAGATTTGTTTCCGCCATTGCAACAATGTATGGTGATTTCCACTGTACATTGTCACTTAGCTCTAATGCAGTATTATTTTTATCTCACTCCATTTCTGTTAGTATCTAATACAAAATTTTAATGAACTTGTTTTCTCATCTATGGATTCTGTCCCTACTTCTCCAGTGATGTAATTGGTTGACATTTATCTTCCATTTCTCCGGCTCCCTGAAATTTTTTTTTTCCTCATTCTTAGCCATTTTCAAATATTTCGCTTTCAGGTTCCATTTTAACGATAAACAACTATTTTCTTTTGAGTAGTTTCCCCATGGGATGTTTGCTAGGTTTTTATTTATTTGTTTTAGTCAGTCTTTATTGTTAAAATTGAATCTATTATTAAGTAACCCTTCAGTACTTCCTGCTTGTTATTTGTTTTGGACCTACAATGTCTATTGATGTATGTTTGTACTTCTATGGGTTTGTAAATTTCTTCATTGTTAGTAAAGATCAAATCAATAGTATTTTTATTGTTAACACTATGGCAAATTTACATTTAATGAACATTTAATAAAGTCTAAGGATATCTCTGATCTATATTTAGTTAATTCCAGTTAGATAAGATTTTTGCTATTCATTTTAAATGGAAGTTGGCTACCACCAAGATGATCCAGTTAATTGGGAGTATTTTTTGCATAAACCAATTTATCACTTGAGAACTGGTGAATTGATTTGGAAAAACTGTATTTTGCTGTTAACACCAACAACTGGTAAATGGGGGTTACAGTGAACCCTTTGTTTACTAATTTAATTCGTTCCAAAGACGGTTCGCAGACCGAAAACTCGAAAACCAAAATGAATTTTCCCATAAGAAATAACGTAAATTGATTTAATCCGTTCCACACACCCAAAAATATCAACTTAAAAATACATTTTATACAGAATACTACTCATATTTTTTTTACTATACAGGTACTTTACCTTTATTGTACCTTGTTGGCGTATGGAAGATGATGAGGAGGAGGGGTGGGGGGGAGGAGAGGTGTTAGTGTTTGGAATGGGAGTCCCCTTCCATTTTAACATCAGGCAATGATGACATTTCTGGGGTACTCTCTCTCCTCAACCCGTCCTCTTACAAATGATGTTGCTTTTTGCTCGTATGTGCTACAGCCAAAATAGGCTGTAATTTGAAAATGACATTACTGAAAAAAAATTAAGATTTTTTTTTAAACAGTAAGTTAAGGGTTCTCTGGTAGGTTAGGAGGGCAGGAAGTTTCCTAAGGTTTCAAAAAAGTAATGAAAACCATTAATTGAATGTGTCTTCTCCTAACCCACCAACCTAAGCCAGAGGACCAAAAATAGAAAACGGGAAAGTACATCACTTTCGTGAGCTGATTCCATTTTAAATTACGTCCTTTTATAGCCTGAGTGCACATGCGAGTAAAAAGTGACGTAATTTGTAAGAGGATGGGTTGCTCTCCTACGTTTTGCAGGCATACCACTAAGACCTGGTTGTGGCTCACTGCTTGCTTGCCTTATCTGTCTAAAGACACTTGTTTTTCCCTGTGTTTTATCACTTGTCTGTAGTGAGACATCACATTGTCATTGTCTACACCATCTCTTCCTACCCAAGGCCAAACAAAGGCCACAAAACCCCAGCTGGCTCCAAGGGCGGCGGGATAAATGCTGAGCAGCGAGAACCTCCACTGAAGTGGAGTCCTGAAGGCATTAAGGAAGGTAACCCTAGAACCCAGGGATAGTACTTACAGGGTGCTTAGGGAAGGTACCCCTAAGCGCATGCAGCCCCAATACACTGAGGTTACTCCTGGCCACCACACCACAAAGAGCAGAAACATCATGAAGGCACAAATTCCGCCAATAAAGCGAGGCCAGTGATGAGCGACCGCCCCAGAGCGTATCAGCTTATGAACTGGCGGTGTGAGTAGCCGGAGTGAGGGGGTCTGGGGCTTCCCCCGCCCCCTCACGGAGGAGGGGGAGGCTGTGCGGACAAGTGGCACGGTGGTAGTGAATGATGTTTGCTTGTTTCCTTATGTCTTTGGGAGAGTTCTGTGTCTCTGTTCTGTTTTCGGTTGCAATTTCTTACCAGGTGGGGTTTGTTTTGCTATGCCAGCCTTTCTAGGTACCTAACTCCGGTTGATGGCAGACATGGAATGCTCCCAAACATATAGGGATTTCCATAGACCATTGCTCCCTGTGCCTCTCTGAGGGGGACAGGTTCTGGCTCGTGGTTCCCGGTAGGCAGAACTCCAATTGACTGATGCTCCAGACTAATAAAGCATATATCAGTCCAATAGCTCCAGGGAGCTGAAGTGGCTCCCCACACAAAACTCAGTACTGTAGTTGTCCATTTGTTCAGCATGCAAATGCACATGCATAACAAAAGAGTTTGTTTCCAGTAACTGTCGTTCAGTGCACAACACTATTTAAATTCTCTGTAAATTTTCCTGTGTTTTGTTGAATATTTTTTATAGTCTTAATGTAAACAAGTTGCCATGGCATCTAAGGTTAGTGATAAAGAGCCAAATGAAAAGAAAATTAGTTAAAACCACCATAGAGATGAAAAAGAACTGAGAAAAATATGAAAGTGGTGTCTGCCTGTTTGTTTTTGCTATTGAGTTTGGTATGCCTAAATCTACTATCTCTGATTCTAAAAAATAAAGAGGCCATCATAGGAGCTGATGTTGATATAAAGGAGGGACTATAAAGTCTCCTCTTTATAGACACTCAGAGTGGACACTTTGGGTGGCCAGATGTGAAATTATATGCTTATTTGATTTACCACTTTATTAGCCCCCGAGTGGGTGCCAGATGTGACAGTGGTAATTAGTAGGCGAGAGCAAACACTGAGGTCCAACTACTGGGTCCTCCAATCACTGGGTCGTTAACTCCTCAATTGAATAATCAATGTAGAGGGTAGCAAATGGGTTTTCACACCAAATTCAGTATTCAGTGTTTGAAGCTGTGGGCTTGATCCCATAGCTTAAACCAGTTAAATTGAAGAATTTAGAAGTGGTTGTAGCAGAGCAAAATAACGGGACAGTATTCATCACAGGTTGTTGACAAAAAGTCACTTTTGCAAAAACAATTAATTCAACCAAACTTACTGATACATGGCAATAACAACGTTATGATACATTAATTCCTGAGTGTCACTCCAACAGCTAAACAGTACTGTACCAGCTACAGCAGGAAACAATCCCACCGCTCTGTCTGGTAATCACGAGACCTAGTATCAAGCCCTCTTGCATGGGCAAAAGGAGCAAAGTGAACTAACTGAACACTAATGGACACTCGGACTCAACTGTACTCAACCCTTGCAGTGGCAATAAACAATGCTTTTCCGACATACCACTGGAACATTATCTAACACAGTGCACAGTTACAAATCCAATAAGATTTCAACTTAAATTCAACAGAGGAGTTGTTGTTAAACACATGGGGCAAAATCTTACTGAAGCGATCATATGAGTCATAAATACTCATACTCTGCCTAAGTAAAACAGAAACAAGTACAGTAACACTTAGTGGGCTAGCCAGAGGCTTAGGGCCCCTGCAGGAATATCACTAAAAAAAAATCATAAGAATATAACACTTCTCTTTGTGAGAAGTGTTATTCCCTTTGTGGCACGTGGGCTTTGTGGCTTCTCTTGTTACTTGGACAATCTTCAATCAAGCAATTAATTATTATGTTAACACTTGTCACTAAGATTTGCAACAAATCAATGAACAATTTAATTACTGTACAGTATTACTTTACTTTAAAATATTCTGTCACACAGGTAAACAAGATAAATAATTATACTCAACTCTGTACGATAACACACAAGCACAACACAGCGATGTAACACAACATAATAATCATTGAATGACAAACTTATAATAATATAATCACGGGCGTCACCTAGACACAATGCTCGATAACTTGCTCTTCCACTGGTGTCTGGAAGAATATAAAATGCAGTGTATCACAGACAAAGGAATAACTGATAATGAAATAATAACACCATACAACTCAAAAGTACTGTATCACAAATACTAAATGTGTGGCGTGTATATAACACTTATACCTATGACAGTGATGGATACAGTGTCACCGAGACGGCCGTACCTACAACTGACTTATTGTTTCCTCGACCAGATCAACTTTCACTTGTATTAGATGATAACGAGAATAATACAGGTCGGACGACTGATCCAAGATCAACACTAGGAACACTAGAAACAGAGAATAATTTGTACTTACTTTATGGCCAGCCTGTCACTCACACCTTACGTACTTACAATGTTGAACTGTAGATGCTCTGATGAAATACTCAAGCAATTTTTGCACGTGGTAACATGCAAGTACAAACATACAGGGGTGACATTAGTTGGCAGGTGAAGACAACTCCAGCAATGACCACACATGGTAATATGCGAGTAACACTGGGTGGCAGGTGCAAACTGGCAGAACAGGTGCACAGTGGTTGCACGTGACGTTACACAACTGGGCGGCAGGGTGCTCACTGATAGGGTGGTGCGGCTTAGCTAGAAATTTCTCTAAGTCCCAATTTCGTTGAAATTAAAGTTATTTCTCCAAGAAATTAAAGGCAATCAAAGGCGAATCGAGGTACGATATGGAAATCCCATTCTTGTAACGATTGGCTTGCGGATGCTCACACTGATCACCGATAAAACTGGCAAGTCATGTTGCTTCTTGCTAGATGGTCAAGTGGTGTACAAAATTTTTCTCTCTTCTTAAATCACTTGTACCAAAGTTAATTAGCAAATATCATATCACAAACCGGATTCTGCAGCGAATAGCGCTAGATGAAATTAGACAGATGATGAGATATTAATTAACATCACTTTAGGTGGGAAATATAGCTATAGCTGGCAGCATAGACAACTCATGTTTTAGTTTAACAGGCGACTTCGTCAGAATGACGCTGGCAAGCTCTCCTGGGGCACTCAAGGCTCCCTCCACACTCCCCTTTCAATATATGAGTTCCACTAATCGGGCATTGAACACCAAGGCCTAGACCAGTTAAATCGGTTTCTTTGGGTGGCGCGAGGCCATGACATCATAACTACGTCACGAGAGGCCTAGAGGTTACATGTCAGTCAAGACCTTCTGGCCTCTTCTTGACTGCAAACCCGAAAGTTCCCTCTGACTCTGATTTTGGATGTTAGCTAGTTGTTATCCATACTTTTTCTTGCTGTATTTAACAAACTGTTAGGCACACGATGGCCCTTGTGATACCAATAGCTTCCTGTTGACATGAGCTACCCACTGATACCCAACAAGACATTGCTGGGTTTTGCATTAACAAAACTCGACCTTGTGCACGCACACACTCTGTGCACTCATGAGAGTTCAACTGTGCACTCACTTTGCACACATTAAGACAACTGGCAAAATCTACCCTTTCATAGAAACTTCCCTGCCAACAATAACATCTCTACTCCTCTTCCTCACCACCTTCCACATATGCCATCAACTCTCCTAAGTACAGGTAAAGTGACAATAAATTTGCATTTATTTTGTCTATTTATTGTCTGTGTGTGTATTTATTTTGATCTGGAACGGATTACAGTACTGTACTCTAAATTCCTTATTCCTTATTGGGAAAAATTATTCCGTACTTGAACAGCTCGGCACTTGCACGGCCTTCTGGAACAAATTAAGTTTGATTACTGAGGTTCCAAATGTATTTTTAATTGATTTTTTTTATGTAAAATAATAAAAAGGGAAAGTAAAATGTGTGCCTTGAAAATGCAAAACAGGTTAAAAAAATGTCTGGAATATAATTTTTGTATGTTTGACAACCTTTAGTCAAATGTGTGGTGGTTAAATACAAACAATTCAAACTGAGCCTTGCAGTATAGGTAAGATAAAGCATGCTGACGGTACTTATGCTCAACATTATGAATTACCTGTATGATTGTGAAGCATGTGTAATCTTCATGTTATATTATTTCCACTTGTTAGGTGGTCTTTTTATTTATTTATTTATTTATTTATTTAAAACATTTAATAAAATTCATCCATATCATAATACTGCTATACATTTGAAACATATACAGCATGTAAGGAATTTTAAACCCCAAATAGATGTACTGTAATGATCAGTTTCCTTGAGCTGGAGTTGCTATTTTTTAGCTGTGTTATACATTATTAAGGTTCTGTAAATTATTAGATAGGATTTCTAAGCTTGCCATTAAGTTAATCTTTAAACAAAAGTACAAATAAGCCAAAAAAAAAGATTTGCCTAATAGACTTTAGTGAACAATTATAGTGCATGTTGTTCTTTTTTTGACCACCTTATGGGTAAACTATGCTATGTTGGCTTGTGATGCTCTTAAGTTCATCTTGGATCTGTGGTTTTATATTGCACTAAGGCTTGGTTCATACAAGCTGTAAACCTCCTAACTCCTAATACAAATATTTCAATTTTTTTTGACTACCTTATACTGTATTTTTTAATTGTTATTTTTGTTAAGAGATGCTTGAGTGAACCAAACCTAATGAGTGTGTACAAATGTTAGAGTTTCTCATGACAAAATACTCCTTGCCTTTACAGCAGGGTAGGGGGCCAGGATTCTACCCACAGGGTTCACTTCAGGTAAAGTTGCAAAAGTTTTGTAGATTTTGTATATAAAATTTAGGGCATTCACCACCTTTTCCCTTGCACTACAGTGGAGTTTCTGCACTGATAATACATGGTGAATGTGTCATCCTTTTAGTGTTGTTATTCAATCATGTAGCAATGGTGGATCTTTGGTGGAAAATTTATAGTGTACTATAGGAAATACAGTAGCAATAAACTATTTGTTCTTTTACTGGGAACTTTAATTTTTACTGGGTGTGCTGTTGAAAACACACATTTACACAGCTAGCTTTTGCCCCTCTAAAAAAAAGTTAAGTAAATTTTGGATCCACCATTGTATGTTTAGTATTGTATATTTGCAATGTTTTCTGCTCTTCAGAATCCACAATTTATTTGATTATGTTTTTGTAGTGGCACCATTACTCACCACTAATATTTCCTACATCTGGGACTATTTTGGAGAGTTACCAGGATGTAGCCATTGACAGATGCCACTAGTAAACTGAGTGTCTAACCTTTACATGTCTACTTGATTCATTTCTAGTTTAGTTGTATTTATTCATTATTTAATTTTCTTGTTACTTTATTCATTATTAATGATTGCATACCATTCTGGGGGTTAAGAGAGATAATGATGGATAGAGCTCTGCATTTTCTCACAAAGCTACATTTGCAATTTTATTTTCATTTACACGTTATGATAAGATTTGCATATTGCAGTCAGGGTTGTAGATAAGATGTTTAGAAATAAGATCTTTATAGAAACATATTAATGTTTTCTTAGGTAGTTTGTCAATCAAGGTTTTAAAGAAAGAGGGGAATAAAAGGGTTTAGGAATACTGTACTGTATATAAATGTTTTTTAATTTAACAGGAAAGCTATTTAGTGGAATGATGCTCAGTTTTAGGATTTTTGTTCAAGTTCCAACAATCAAGTGTTGAATATAATGAAACATCTTCTCTTTTATGGCCATTAGTAGCTTTCCGAGCTAGGTACATATCCAGGCATGTCTTGGGGAGACGCATCAGGCCCCTAAGACCTATCCTTGTGTAATGGCAATCAGGGCCAGAATTTGGCTTTTTCTACAAGGTGATGAGAGCTTGGGGATTGAAGAATAAAACACAAACCCAGAAATATTCCTACCAGAAAACATTAGGACAACAAAACAAGCCACTGTTTGAAGAAAATTAGGTATTTTCAGGAAACAAGGCAAATTATTTATTATTTTTATTATGATTTTGATTATATTTCTTGGTTTTTGGGTTGATCTCCGATTCACAGTCTCCTCTTGCTTCAGAGAGACATCCAGATCCTGGTCCTGGCTTCTGGTAGTCAAGAATAGGCTTCAGAGGTCTGGTGCATCACTCTAATGCTTGGTTGGGGCCATTGTTTAGCTGGGAGAGTTACTGAGGCAGGCCTACCAGAAAATAGGTTAAATCAAATTGCCAAAAGTATCCAAATGAACTGTAACTGAAAACTTGTTCATTTGAAATCCCAAATAAAATATGTATAAGAAATACAGTATATACAGAAGTAGATTAAGATTTGACGGGATAGTTGTAAGCACATTGGTATGGAGAGCAAATTCTACCAGGCTTGTTAGTTGTTTTGTAATTTCTAATAATTTTGTATTTATTTATTAGATATCTAGACCAAGTTATCACAAGTCAAGCCTGGCCCCAGGCTGGGCTTGGGGAGTAGAAGAATTCCCAGAACCCCATCCAGGTACATCCAGGTACAATCTACAGTAGGGATATCTCGTGGTTTCTGGGCAGCCCCTAAGTAGCTTTCCTCTGTTTATGCACCTGAGAAACCAGTCAAGTCAGGGATCTGTGAGACTCGACTCCCCCAGATTCAGGGGCCTTTGCAAATCCCACTTAATCCCTTTACAGGGTGGGGAATACATTGGGACTGGAAATCAACCCAATACTGAGGTGAACAGTCCATAAAAGTATTGAAAGATGGTCACAAAATACTTGATCCTCCTTGTAGAAATGTTTGTGATAAGTGGCAAACTATCAAATTAAAGTTATGACAAGAAGCCGTCAAGACCATCAACTGACACCACCTTCCACCAGCAGAAATCAGCTTGCTCACAGCAGATCTGGGTGAGATGATCATCTATGTCTCTCCCCTGCCATCTGAGAAGTTGCATACCTATGGTGATGTGTGGAAATCCTCGACATGAATTCAGCATTCTTTTGGCCTAGCTGGTTCATGTGTAGGGACTCATGCATAAACATTCCACAAATGTTTGAGCTGTTCCCAGTGCATCTTTCTTGCTACTATATCAGTTTCAGCTTTGTTTCCCTTCCCTGGAGCTGTTGGATATGTCTATTCACCACTAGTTATCTTTACTGTGGTTTTTGGTTCCTCCCTTAGGAAAATTATTTCAGAGTCGACTATGTGCCATTGGAACTTGGTTATTGTGCAGGATTTGAAGGAAAGGTTAGCTCTACAGTTAGGTGTTGGTTTCAATTAGCTCAGCTCCTGGTCAAGCAGAATGTGAGGTACTTTGAACTCTTTGCAGGATATGCACTAAAGGAAGTGTCAAGGAACTTTTCATGCCATTCATGGCTCCAAATGTCCTTCCTCTCCTTTTTAGAATGTAGTTTTTGTGTCTGTTAGTTACGTTTATGACTCAGGAATCCAGTTCTTCCATCTGAAACTTCATTTGATGTGGTGTTCCAGCTTCCACACTTGAAGGAGGTTGTTTACTTCATATATCTGCAGATTTAGTCACAATGTATCCCTTCTTTTATTTCAGAGCGTGATTTTTCTGCTTGCAACTTTCTTGAGTGTTCATCAGTGTTTTACAAACCCTGACTGACACCCATGTTACCTCAGTCCTTCCTCTTGCTGGAATTGGGGTTATTCCATCCTCAGATGTGTGATGCATGTCATCTCTATGGACCTACCATCCTGTTGACACAGTTGCTCTCAGGCATAAAGTTTTCAGGCTTCTGCTCATTTGCAAGATAACTTCTTGCAATACAGCTATTTTAGGCCATGGCCATTTGCTAATATGGAGGCAAAGCATTATTCTCATTTTTGAGGAAGACTTAGAGACATTGGTGTCCAATAAGTATGTACAATCAGCACCTCTTTTTCATGTCTGCTATTATGTGGTTCGGTGTCAGTTCCGGTAAGTCCAGCTCTTATTTGATCTTCCAATGTCTGCTGCTGGTCAGTGCTGAAAAGGCTTGAAGCCCTGCAGGGTCTGGTGTGGATTGTTAGGAGGCAGTGGCTTCTGTGTCTGACCTGCAAAGGAATTTGTCATAGTGAAGATGTCTGCAGGTTCAGACCTGGTTGTGTCTGGTGTAGGATCCTGCGTCAGCTTCCCTCACCATTCTGCATGTGTCCCTACTCCGCTTGGTTTTTTGTCTCCAGTTGGTGGTGGAGAGTTCCTGTGTCATCCGATATTTGAATGGCTGTACATGAGTAAGAACTTTGCCTGCGTAGTTTATTCTTTGGGCAGGGTGTTTCTCAAGGATCTTCCAGACTGGTGATGTTCATTGGCAGAGTTCTCCTGTTGTTCTTTTTTGGCTGGCCCAGTCTTGGTTTCTGGCTATTTGAGTCAGTTGTCTAAACCCACATAATTTTCTGCAGGTCTGTCTGTTTCAGCATATTGCCCCAAAGATGTTTCTTGATGGTTTTTGGCTTGTGTGCTGCTCTTTGTATAGTCTGCAGGTAGCCAATCTTTTGCTGTCAACAAAATGATTGTTGGCGACAGTACGAGGTTTCTTGGGGCTGCTGTAATTTTCTTCCTCTTCTTCATTTGTTATCAGTTTCTGTACCTGTGGTCTTCTCGTTTTTATCTTCATTGTTTGTGGATAGGCTTCTTGTGCCAAAGACAGTCACAGTCACGGTGGTCGAGTGGTTAAGGAACCAGGTACGCCATGGTGCTCCTGGCTGTCTGGGTTTAAATCCTTCTGGGGTATGGAGTTTTCAATTATGTGTGTGTAATTACCTAAGTGTAGTTACAGGATGAGAGCTACACTCGTGGTGTCCTGTCTTCCTAGCACTCTGTCATATAATGCTCTGAAACTACCGACAGTCTTGGCCTCTACCATCGTCTCACCTAACTTGTTCCAACCGTCTACCACTCTATTTGCGAAAGTGGATTTTCTTATATTTCTTCAGCATCTGTGTTTAGTTAGTTTAAATCTATGACCTCTTGTTCTTGAAGTTTCAGGTCTCATTAAATCTTCCCTATCAATTTTATCAATTCCTGTTACTATTTTGTATGTAGTGATCATATCACCTCTTTTTCTTCTGGCTTCTAGTTTTGGCATATTTAATGCCTCTAACCTCTCCTCGTAGCTCTTGCCCTTCAGATCTGGGAGCCACTTAGTTGCATGACTTTGCACCTTTTCCAGTTTGTTGATGTGCTTCTTAAGATATGGGTACCACACAACCGCTGCATATTCTAGCTTTGGCCTAACAAAAGTCGTGAACATTTTCTTTAGTATTTCCCCATCCATGTATATAAAAGCAATTCTGAAGTTAGAAAGCGGGCATAGGCTCGTCGCACAACGTTCTTTATGTGGTCCTCAGGTGATAGTTTTCTATCTAGAACCACCCCTAGATCTCTTTCTTTATCAGAATTCTTAAACAATTTCTCAAATAATTTATAGGTTGTGTGGGGTCTATGTTCTCCTATTCCACATTCCATAACATGGCATTTATTAACATTAAATTCCATTTGCCAAGTGGTGCTCCATATACTTATTTTGTCCAAGGTCTTCTTGAAGGGCATGACAATCATCTTAAGTTTCTTATCCTGGCTATTATCTTAGCATCATCAGCAAACATGTTCATATAATTCTGTATACCAACTGGTAGATCATTTATGTAGACAATGAACATCACCGGTGCAAGAACTGATCCCTGTGGTACTCCACTTGTGACATTTCTCCAGTCTGATACATTGCCTCTGATTACTGCCCTCATTTTTGTATCAGTCAGAAAAATTTTCATCCATGTTAGAAGCTTACCTGTCACCCCTCCAATAT